CCATCTAAAAGTGTATCTATTCTCTTGTTCCTATTCGAAACAAACGGTCGATAACTACAACGCTTTCGTCCGCTGGGTGCACAGCACTCGTCGGCTCAGAAGTATGAACGCTCTGAGAGCTATGTCCGATGTGGTTTATGTGCGTCTGGAACGCAAGCTTCGATATGATTTTACTAAGTTTAAGGTAAGAGGAAAATTTCGCAATCGCACGCGCTGTGATCCGGCTACTACGGTATCCGCGAGTGATGGTCAGACTGTGACCGTTACCCCGCCAAGCCACACCACTAGTGGTGGGAAACGGCCTCGGTTTCGAGATGACACTGGCCACGATGTCCAAAAACATCCACAGCGTAGAGGAAATCTCGTCGAAGAGTAATCTCATGCCCCCATGAGTTATCCTACTCCGAGTACCCACGCTACTATACCAAATACTGGTACTGGCCATGACGATGACTTTGTTTCAGTGGTCTCTCCAACATGGAACTGGAGGCTCCCTTGCTCATCAAGCAGCGTTGGTGGAGGTCGTTGGACCAAAGGAGGAGCATGAGAAGGTACTCTCAATCTAGGTGGTCTCCGTGAGACATTAGATAATACCCAGAGTGCACCCGACGCGACACAAGCTCACTTTCAGGCGTCGGAGTCGGATCACTCCCGGATGGAGGCCCAGCTTGACCTCCTGATTCAAATGTAGCAACCGATGGCAAGGCCAAATTTCACGGCGCAAGCGCCTCCAAGTTCACGTGAAACGAATCCCGATACGGCTTAAGCGAGCCAACGCACAATATAGGATGTGTTCGCAATATGCGCGGAAGGTTGAGCGTGTGCACGAGTTACTTCTCAGTGGTGACTGTAAATGGTCCAATCATGCTTGAACGCAACTTTGTCATGAAGACGGCGGATACTACATTTGTAGGTAGGTTTTTATGCATTGAGTGATACTTGGTCCTCGACCCGATAACGTTCAACACAACCTCGGTTTTTAGTATCTGCTAGTTGTTTTTGTAAGTCTTGGCTTCCAACCATTGTGTCACACACACGTCTTCAGACACTCAATTGCGTTGCGAGAAACTAGCCTACCTATTTCCGAATAGTACCAGGGCTGACATCAGCAAGCCGATCGGCAACCTCTCCCCCACCAAACCCATAACGTCGTAGTGGAAGTGTTGACGGAACGTATGGGTGAGCGATTCCATTCACGTAGAATAATCAAATAGAGGCATGAAAATTTATGATCGATGCAGACTCGACCACAGGAAGCATAGAGCTCCAACGCCTAGGCGTAATAGCACAAACACTGTGCAAAATGTCTTTGATGACACGGTGACACGCTCATTTTGACCATCAGTCTGCGGATGATCCGCTGTGGATACATCCATACTGCTGCCGTTTACCTTGAAGATGGACTTCCAAAACTTGCCAGTGAAACGAGGATCTTTATCAGAGATAATTGCCACAGGTAAACCGCGTTGAAGAAACACACGGTCTGTAAACAGCTTCGCCTTACCATCACGATCAATGAACTCAAGCACAGCCGCTATATGAGCCATCTTGCTTAAACGGTCAACAAAGACGACAATCCCTGCATTTCCGTCAGAATCCTTCTGTAGGCCAAGCGCAACGTCCATACTGATAGACTCCCAACACCCAATATATACAAGCAAACTAGCAAGCGGTGCAACCACATGTGCTGACGGTTTGACCCGTTGACCCGTTTCTTATGTACGCACATATGTTCTCACCCATTTTTACAACTTGAGCCACCAAGACGTCTGGCTAACTGAGCTGTACGTCTTCTCACGACCGAGATGACCTCTTAAAGTAGTGTCATGTGCCTTAAAGAGGATACGATACCTCAAGTCATCATCATGAGGAACAACGATGTGAGGGACATCCTCAACACCCGTGCAATAGCACAACAACCCACGATCGACGACATATTGATGTAGGCAACAAACAAGCTCGCACGTAAACGTGCCAACAATTTGATGTCTGGGTCTTTAAATTCCTCGCACCCAAGAGCATGTAGCAATGCTACACATAGCTTATCACGTACATATGCCGCACGAATCAAATACCACAATGGACGACGACCGAGTTATAACTAGAGCAAGCTCATAATCAAGCCTGCGTGACATCGCATCAGCCAAAGCATATTGCTTGCCTAGCTTATAATTCACCTTGAAGTTATTCTCAGCAAAGAATGAAAGCTAACGGGCCATACGAGGTGAGGCGACTTTGTCGCAGTGCGTAACGACGCATGATCAGAGAAGAACACAAAAGGCTTGTAGCCAAGTAGATGTACTCTTAACTTAACAAGAGCATGCTTCAATGCAAGTAACCCTTTGTCGTGAAATGGATAGTTCTTCTCTGCAGCTTTGAGCTGACGATATTAATAAGGAAAGAAGCGCTCATGTCCATCTACATCTGTATGCAATAATGTACAATCAATAGCAAAATAAGGCGCATCATAGACGACACTGAAAGACCACTCAGGGTCAGGAAAAGTCAAAATTAGAGCATGAAGGAGACTGTCCTTTACAGCTTCAAAAGCCTAAGCATGGACTGCGTCCCAACACAAAACTGCATCCTTATCGAGGAGGTCGGTGAATGGCCTTGTCATGTCAGCGTAGTTTACACTGCACTTGTGCAAGTAATTTGCTATGCAGAGCCATTTACGCAAGACCTTTAGGTTAGACGGAACCGGCCAGTCAACGATTGACTTTGCCTTGGTTGGATCCGCTCGGACGACGCAATTCCCAATAAAGTGACCTAAAGAGGTAATTTCTTCCGCGCCAAAATTGCATGTTAATGTATTTGCATACAGCTTGTTTGTACGCATGCACTCAAACACTGCTCGTAAATGGCCAATGTGATTGTCCACATCTGACTTACCATGTTTTGCAAGACTATGGACAACGACGACATCGAAATAGCTTTGTGCGTATCCACGGTGAGGTCGAAATAATTTTGACACAAGACTATTTAATGTAGCCGGTGCATTAGACAGCCATTGAGGCATGACAAGCAACTCTCAAAGCATACCGCTTGAAGAACTAACAGATGTGAGCGGAATGTCACTCGCTCGCATGAGCAATTGAAAGTATCATCGACCAAGCGGAGTGCGCTGAACATGGTACAACCTACCATAGAGTTCTAAAGAACATCCTTTCTAGATATAGGCGTCTGTGCCGGTACAGTAGCTGCGTTAAGCTTATTGTAAGAATGCACAATACGCCATTTACCATTGGGCTTTCTGACACAAAATGTCGGTGTCGAGTGCGGGGACTTGCTCTCACGCACCGTGCCAGCCGCATGCTTTGTACGACAGAACTCGTCAATGAAGTCACACTGATCCTTTGGTAGGGTACGTTGCCGTGTGACACAGTATTTGGTTCCAGGAACCAGGTCAATATCATGACGTACGCCCCGATCAGGAGGCAGAGTGGAAGGTGGATCGTGACACACCACATACTAAAGCTTCTTAACCAGAGGATAAGGGTCTTTAGGATCTTCAAGATCGATGACCCACTTCTGGCACTCATTGCCGCCTTTGTGTCTTCCACGACATTTTCATCAAGGAGTGATGACGAGTTCAACTATTGTCGTATTTGATCACCACCACTTCAGATTATTCACCTGACTACAAGGCCAGGCCAGACTCATAGACTGACATTTCGTCTAGCTTAAACAGAGTATTCAGTGAGGTTAGAGCATCAAGAATCCCTGATTCATTTAAATTACCGGTCACTCCATTAACAAGTATATATATCCGCTTGCTTGTATCACTCGGTGCTGTAATAGATGCCTTGCGTAACATAGCAGTAATTTAGCGCTTTTGTCGTCTCTGTGGCAAGACTGAACGTCTCGAAGAGACTGGAACTTTCTTGTTCCCAAGTTTGATATCATCATCGTCCTTAACTTGCTCTACACATGAGCCAATGTGTCATTATTGGCACCCATCACATCAAATGGTTGTGAGGTGAAGCGAGTATTCGAAAATGATGAACTAAAGAGTCGATAAAATGACGGACATGGGACCTCGCGGCCGGTACAGGGACCAAAGACCTGGGGGTCACAGAGAAGGAGCGGCCGTTGGATCTAACCGTGACGAGCAGTTAAGGTTACCGCTAACGGGGTCAGACCGACCGACGGTACCAGTTAAACGGTACCTATATGGATCGTTCTTAACCACTCGTCGGTCGTTCCGGTAGCTCAAGGTGGGCCCTGGCCACCCGTAGGCCGACCTGGCCACCCATCGGCCAACCCGGTTACCCAAAGGCCAAACTGGCCATCCATAGGTCGACTTGTCCTCTCAAGGTCTGGTGGCTCGTGGTCACTCATCATAGAGAACCCAAGTGCAAGTCAAAGATAGAGTAAAGGTGTTTGAAGGATAGAATAACATTAAATACTACTCAATTTGCGATCTAAGTAGCACGACGTGTCGTGCGCTAAGAAACTCGTAAGTCTACCGACCTGTTCCGGGCCAGGGATCTGTTTGGCCCACCCGTCGAATAGACAGTTGTCAGTAAGACCCAAGTGTAAGTAGATCCCCAGGAAGTATATTGGAATGTGGGTTCGTAGAGTATAACCCTTCAACTCAAGCCCGCTAAAGGAAGCGGTCTCCATACCCCAGTGGTCAGGGAGAAGACACGTAAAGGCCAGGCGGTTAACAACCCTGAGACAAGTAAAGGCCAGGCACTACCAGCACTTGAGACAACTGGTTATAAGTCCACTCTCGATTAATTCAATCGAGTGGCCGCCTCAAGTGGACCACGACTGAAGCATATCCGCTCGGGGGGCCCCCAGGTCGTCTTCCATCTAGTCCGACGTATACACTCGTCACCAAGTCCTCCAAAGAGTGAAACTCGCCAGTCGACGGGTACAAAAGGTGAGCCAAGTTCCACAAGTGGCATCGTGGTCCCCCCTTCGGAGGTCGGCAGTCCGGCACAGTGATTGATTTGGGGTCTCGTCGGATAGTTTTGGCAACCCACTCCACCACAATGGTGCGCGTGCCCGGATCTTCGGAAGACGCGGGGATTCATCGCAAGCCCCAAGATGAAAAAGAAGTTAAGGTCAAGATAGAATCGAAGACCGAAGATCCACTGGAAGACGGACCGCTAGTGACACAAGAGGACAAAAACAAAGAGTCGAAGGACCGACTGGACCTTGGGAGGGGTCCGGCCAACAAGTTAAAGGTTAATTTTATTGAAAAAAACTGAACACTGTCTCGACGTCCTTGTTGAGAACGTGTTGGGTCATGATACCTATAATTCCCCAGGGAGCCAACAGCCGACGGCGAAAACAGAAAAGCCGTGGTCCTCGAAACGGCAGACCCCTACGGTCGCCACGTCCAAGCCAAAGAAGGCCAGGATGAAAGCGCCAGTAGACACCAACTCGATGGGTCACGACACCACAGGACCATCGGCCGACGACTAAACACGGAAAACTACGGTTTCCGACTACCAAAAAACCAAGATCGCTAAATCCAAGCCGAAACACAAGAAAACGAAGACGCAAGCGGACACCAAGTCAATGGGCCCTGACCAAGCAGGGCCGCCAGACTTTTTGGACGATGCAGTAACGATCGTCTATTTCCGACGCAAGTTGTACACACGCTTGGCAAGCGAGCCCGTCTCGAAAACCCTTGAGATTCAGCTGCTTGGACGACGAGAGGCCGGTGTCACCCTTACCACGACTTCGGAAGGTCACCGGGGCGTTCACTGCGCTGGTGACACTCCTCTGCGAGTCAAACATGGGTGCAGGAAGATTCGAGCCAAGCACTTTAATCGACATGGGGTTCAACAGCATTGCAAGCACGTTAGAGAAGTTGTACAAGCGATTGGCGATTTTAGTTGTGACCACCACTGGACACAACAGCGTACCACCAGCGCAATCTGTGACGGCAACGTCTCGCGACATTCAGATGAAGATCCAAGACTTCGAATCCCAACCCCAAGCGTGACCACAGCTCGACAACCCGAGGGTGATGCGCCGTTCCCCACCACCAACTCTCCCGCCAGGTATCCAATACGCGGATGAGCGTTTGTCACACAGTTCGTCTGCTGCTGACCAGTACGACAGGATACCACTGGGACCGGCAGGGGCATCGATGCTCCAGGATCGTGAAAGGGACGAAGATGAAAATCAGTATAATCATGAAACGGCGAAACGTGTACACCCAGGACATCCAAGCGCCTGGTAGGGTGAATTTTCACCCGATGGGAATGCAGCACGGTCGAAACAGGAAATCTGCACCACCACGTAACGAAGATTTTGAGGGTTCGCAGATTTTGAGGGCACGCGTCTATTTTTGCAAAATGTAACTTGCAGACATACTTCAGTGCCGCGATGGCACGATTCTTCAGGAACACCAGTTACAACAAGGATACCAAGATGGAAGGATTACCGTAGAGGCATAAAAGGCACAGGTGACAGCGTCTCAACAAGTAACTCGAATCCAAACGCAAGCTTTCAGAAAACGTACCATGAGCGACGTGGATATGGAATCAATCGGTACGTGCGAGTACGACCCCGACGACATGGACTTGGAGGGACCACTTGCGAGGATGGCAACAGCTACAGTAGGACAATTTCCCAACATGGTTCCTCGCATTAAACTTGCAGCGAAATCGGACCTCAAGGATTTCCACGGAAGAGATCAAAGCGAGTTCCGAGCACGCAGTTGGGTGGTCACTGTGAAAACCGCGTTCATGAGAGATCAAGAGCCCGACGATGAAAAGTGTCTTGTCTTCGGTGGATTGCTAACTGTACCAGCTCAAAACTGGTATCGCCAACTGGGTTGCTCGGTTTGATCAAGCTATAAGGAACTCCTACAAGAGTTCCAGTTGCAGTTCTGCGTTTTGGAAGTGCCAGTTTCTTGTCAATACTACCACGCAAAGGAGAGGTCAGATGAGTAACCATTGGACTACCTGTACTGACTCAATGTGATTGGACTCAGAGCGAAGATCAAGATACAGATACAAAAGAAACATCTTTGGTAATACATCGATACTTTGGACGACCCAGAACTGGCATACCAGCTTACGATATTACGCCTGGCAAATGTGGATGCATCGGAAGATGTGCTGAGATCCAGGCAGAGGACGAAAGCGCGGCGAGGTAAGGTACTATTTGAATCAAGCAAATATCGCCAAAAGGCACCCGTACCCCCACGACCGACCAAGGAAAGTAAATTACCGGTCGATGCATGCGTTTCGGGCGTACATGGAAGAGTCGAGTTCTGAAGAATTGAGCTCAAACGACTTAATTGACGAAGGTGACTTGAGACGAATTTACTCGACGGCGATGGAAGGGCAGAGGGACACAGGTGCGATACCCAAAGGGCCGAACCTATTCGAAAGGCCAACATCACCGTCACCATAAAAGTGACCAGGGATATTGCTTAACGTCGTCCGCTCTATACCAGAAGTGCTCTCACTGTGGACCTCGAAAGAATGGAGGTGTGGTAAAACGACTCATGTGTGACCGCTGTGGGAAAAAGGTCACCTAACGGATCGTTGTTTGTTTGTATGCATGTGTGCGGAGAAGGCTACGAGGCTGGAAAGTGCTAGATGGAAGAGTTTTATACTTAATCCATCAATGGTACAACCCGACCAAGCACGCCGGGGTGTTGCCGGAGAAGGCCAAGAAGATGATAAATTAGAACTCTCGCCAGGTTTGAATCTGGTACGAGCCGAGCGTTCTAATTGTCATGTCTTTGCATATGTGGAGAAGCACTTTGAAAAAGACATAGGTACCACAAGGAAAAGTATTTCGAGTAAGATACCGCTGTTAAGACGATTGGGAATATATCAAAGATTGTAAGCTACCCTGAGGTTCATGTTGCTTGCCTTAATGACCCCAATGTCTTTACTCGAGGAGATGCACTGATGGATCTGGATCTACTAACAGGAGCATCCAGGGGCTATTGGAAAACCCATGCACCTTCGAAATGGTTCAAGCAGGCCAAGGCCTCTGGAAAAGTCAATAACGATCGCTCAAACTTGCTGTTTGATACTGGTGCCGAAATATCCATTTTGGACATTGCCTTTACTCGTCCTGTAGGCGGCCAGATTGACCAGAGTGCAAGACCTAAACGTGTCAGTATTGGGGAAACATGTACCACAGAAGGGCGCACTTGTGTCAAGATCACCCTGAACGGAAACTTGGTGAATATCTCTAAAGTATGGGTCGGGCTGATGGGAGGCCAAGGTGCAATTTTGAGGATGGACTTCATGGTCCCAGCTGGTATCCATTTAGACCTGGGTGGTGGAGCACTCTGTCTCCCAGATGAAGTTCGTACACAACTGGCTGGCCGACGAACGCTCTACAGTGGCAGAGTGGCCGACGTGAGGCTGGGCCAATTCGCACAATTCCTGTTGGAGGGTATGTGTAAGTATCCATGATAGGATCAACCTCGGAGCAGAGTATGCTATGGTGCCAAGAGGAGAACGGTGAGTCACTACGGTGATCCGAGCAGAAGGCTGACGTCAATTCTTAAATGTGACCAATGTTAGCACACATTTTCTAAGACTACATGACAAGACCAGGATTGCATGCTGCTGGCGAAGGATAAATACCGAGTCTCTAGGATTCGTTACTGTGTGCTGTCGAAGATACGCTGGGAGGTGTAATGCGGCATACGAAGCTACCACTGACCAGGACGACCATCAGTTGGACATGGAGGAATACGAGGGACCATTAGTGGACTTACATCAGTATGAGACCCCATTACATATCCTGCAGCGACCGAAAAGGATCTTCCCGGTGATTACGTTTCTTTCCAACAGCTGTCGGTGGAGAGTTACCAACATGCGAAGCAACGACCGCCGTAGCCCAACCTCTAGAAGCCGCCGTCACTTGGCCGATGAAAGCCACGGTCATTCAGCCTGTTGCAGCCGGTTTCACTGATGCAAGAACGAAACTCGAGGACCTGTCTCAAGCCGATGACCAAGTGTGCACCTTCAAGAGCGGAGAACCCTTGGTCGAGGAAATGAGCCAAAGATGGGAAGTAGTACCAAAAGTAGACCCCTCGTCCGAAGACATCGAGTTAAAGGACATCCAGATCCCTTATTCGGATAAAGAACACGCCTGAAGAGGTTGATCAATTGAAGCAGATCGTATGGAAAGAAGCTACATCTGCTAATGATAAAAGGCAACGCCTTATCTCCAGCCGCTCGTAATGCCATATAGACATCGACTTGGAAAATGCGAGACTGATAGCATAACGCGTGCGAAAGGTAGCCCCTCAGTTCAATGAATGTTGGCCGAACTAATCAAGGGTCTACTGTAAGCAAAGTTTTTGAACCGTCTACTTCGCCGTAGGCCAGCCCTATGGTGATCATCGTGAAGAGTAATGGGGTATACAACAGGTTCGGCGTTGACTACCGGTTGGTAAAGAACTTGAATCAACTCATGGTCTACCCTGTGCTACTGATTAACGAGCTCCTGTAAGACTTAAATAGTGCTTTGTGGTACTGCTCCCTTGATATGGCAAGTGGTTTCCTGGGTGGTCAGAATAACTGAGAGGGCAAGGTTGATTTTAGCATTTGTCACCCCGTTGTGACTGTTCTAATTGCTCCGCATTCTATTCAGACTCCAGAATGCACCAAAGATCTACCAGCGACTTCTGGACAACGCGTTATACGGGTTCTTACTTATACTTCCAGGTGCCAGCTTGGAAGATCCAGAAAATTTGTTTTTGTTGGGGGGACCAGACACAAATTCGGGCCCCTCGATATCGGGTCGTCGGTCGTGCATATACGACATACTTATACCCGCCGAATGTTGAGACGAGTTATGCGATAAGATGGGAAGTTTTTGGACGTATGCAGCTACTGTTATTTGTCGCTTTAGTGCAGTCAAGCGTTTGTAGGGATGTCGAAGGGCCAACTACATCGGCCACCGAGTATCTAGAGAAGAATTCGAAGCTCACCCCAAGGACCTCCAAGCCTTAGTTGACCTACCTCTTCCAACAATTCCTAAGGCCAACAGTCGTTCCTCGGAAGTCTGAATCACTACAGCAGGTTTATCTGGGATTATGCAATGTTTGCGTCGATCCTGTATGAGCTGAGAGAGGTATACTTCGACATATGGCAATGCAAGTTACGTGACGGTGACCACTCAGTTACCACGAGTGAAGACAAAGAGAAACTATCTCGAGTTCTAGTGTTTTTGCTATGCTCAAAAACAAGATTGCTACAGCATCTATTTGCTGCAATTCGACTTATGGAAAGAAGCGGTAATTTTGTCTACGCGAGATAATGGGCAATCCTAGCGTCATTGGTGCAGGGCTATGAATGCCTATATATTCCAGTGACTTTCACGATCCGGACACTTAAGGCCAACGAGTTGAACTACAGTAACGCTAAGAAAGAAGTGTTGGTGTTGTTACGGATATTGGACACTTGTTTTACGATGTTGGTCACCCGACCTCTCAAAATATAAACGAGACACTGGACGTTGGCCTGGTTGGTCAGATTTTCTGGATTGGAGCCGCTCTCTTGTCCCAGTAGACATTAGAAATTTTGAAGTGCAAGAAAGGCGAAGACCAGGTGCTGGGGGCTTAACAGTCAGTATTGCCCCCCCCCCGCGGGAGTGTAGACTCGATCCTAGCGACTATTGCACCCGAGAAACAGGCGAGACTGAAGTTTAACCTACCTACGCCTATCGTAAAAAATTGGACGAAGATCTATATGTAATGAGCTTTGATGGGTCGGCTCGTGTGAAACAAGGAGGAGGAGCTTGTAATGCTGTCGTATGGAGCCTGTCTATGTGGTTGGTCGTAAGTACCGCCTCAAAATATCTTAAGACATCCACGGTGAATAAAGCCATATAAGTAGGCATGTTGTTAGGCTTCAATTTGCTAGAAACTTCGGAACGACGGCGGATAATCATCTGGGGAGACTCCAATTTGGGTTTCCGGCAAATGCGCGGAGAATTCGAGTGCAAGGCTTTAGAGTTGTCTTCGTTGCAAGCAAGAGATCTGAACAATCTTCAGTTGTAGACTTCCCACTAGATCCTCCACGTAAAGCGCGATTGGAACCAGAGCACGGACTAGCTGGCTACCGAAGCATTACACAAACACGGAGGGGTCGAGTCATTACCGAGGGAAGAGTGGCCAGGATTAGAAGTGATTAACCGACTGCTAGAGCTACTGGTCCCCAAAGACCAGGATCCGACAAATAGATTATTCGCGGTGACTCGATCAATTTCACCCATCAGAACATCCAAATAAACGATGCAAGGAGATGTGATACAACAGCTGCGAGTGGAACGTATCCGGAAGGCTCAAGAGGAGGAGAGCTATGTAATAGATTTGAAGGCATTTTAAAAGGGGACCTAGGTGACCTGTTGGTAAAATTGGCACATTCGTTCTGCAAATTAGCCAGAGATTATGAAGTCAGCAAAAAGAAATTACTGGTGTACTGTCCCGTCCACAAGACCGATGAGGTCGGCTGAGAATTGACTGCCCGACTGGTGATTCCCGAAGCCATCCATACCGACGTGTTACATCACTACCATGCCAGTCTAAAGGGCGGTGTCCAAGGGTTGGGTCGCACCAACTATCGGACTCGCCGGTATTGCCATTGAAGAGGCTTTCGAAGTGTGCAGCGGTATGTAGGCTTATTTGTAGATTGCGAGACAAGAAAAAAGGATGTCTACCTTTCAAGGGACAGCTCCAGGTAATGTTGGGGTGACCTATCCGTTCCAGTTCATAGCACTGGACCACATCCCCTCTTTGCCCAAGTCACATAAGGGAAACACTGAGATGTTGCTTTGGGCCGACTTATTCACTGGGTATGTGATGGACAAGGCAAGTGCTTCGAGAACTGCTCAGACGGTGGCCAAAGGGTATGAATGAATGTATTTTTCGGCGTTTTAAGGCCAGAGATGTGATACGCCATGATCAGGAACCCGGTTTCAAGTCGGACTTCTTACAAGCGTTCAATTGCATGGTGGGTCAGCGTCAACGGGCGAAGATGGCTTACCGACCCCAGGCGAACGTCACCGCGGAAAGAATGGTCCAAATCCTGACAAGATCTATCAAGACACGTACGTCTCAGATGGGGCGCAGAAAGATTGGGACGAATACCCAGAACGGCTAACGTTTACACTGAACACTGCACACTGCAGGATGCGAAAAGAGGCACCGTTCTATTTGGCACACGGGTGGGAAACTAAAACCACCCTGGAGGCAACGTTGCGAGTGTTGAACACCAGGTGTAAATAGTCCAAATCTTTAAGGTGGAGGTACTAAATTCAGAGTTATTACCAGCGTGCGAGGAAACAGGTGAACGAACATTTGCGGTAGGCCTGTCAAGCCCGGGTGCTAACATATAATAAACAATAGGTCAATCACTATATTGGCGAGGTATCAAAGTGTGGCTCTACCTAGATCGTGTGAAGGAAGGGTACGCCAAAGAATTGGCTCACCTCTGGAATCGTCTGTTCCTAGCTTTGGAGTTGGTCGGTGAATATGCTGCGCTGTTGGAAGTAAGAGACACGAAGTACAGATTATCCCGATCGTTCACATTTCCAAGCTGGAAAGGGTCAGGGAGTTCTGTTATCGCCCAGGTTACCGACTGACAGTGGAAGAGGCCGACAAGATAGACTTCGATGAATGATTGTTGCCGCAGGATAGCTGGACGCGTGAATAAGAGTTAGCCGAATACAAAGTGGGAGAGGTTTTAATAAGCCGCGTCAGCAAGAAGACGCGATGTGGTCGGCAACGGCTCGAGTCCTTAATCTGTTAGGAGGGTCACGCGGATTCCTCATAGGTCAACGAAGTGGATTTGAATTGTGAATCTTCATTAAAAAAGTTTGAACGCAAGAAGGCAAAGTAAAACCGTTTTGAGGTGATGCCGAGTCACGATGACAAGTTGCGGGAGAGGAGACCGGTCACCTGCTGGTCGGCCTGGTCTTCTGTGGAACGGTCATGACGTCCGTGAGCGACAAAAGATTTAAGGTCAGCCAAGGCTATGTGGAGGCCTACCATTACTCAATCGGATCGACATAGTGTGGCCTAAGGCATATCTTAGTTTATCTGAAGTCGGCCATGACGTTTCATGGGTGACCAAGGCAGTGCAACGCTAGCTGAAAAAGGAAAAGATATGGCAGAATGGATGATGAGAAACGAGCGGACAATGTGGATGTAAATCAGATTGGAGGCTCATTGATTCAAGCGATTACGCCTACGAAGAAGGAACGAACTCGTTCCGAAGGCAAGCGACCTTGGTTCCTGGGTGGGGCTCAAAAGTGAGTCGGTACTAGGATATCCATGGCCACGCTGAGTCCGATAGGTGAAGAGCACCCAACAGGTCAACCGGGTCCGTCCCCTTCTAACACCCAGGAAACCAATTAATCCCGCGGCGTGGGCGAGGCAAGTGCCGAAAAGAAGAAGTCCAAGAAGATGTCGATGTCACATCGATGAGCGGCTATACCTGCGAAGATCCGGCCGACGATTCTACTCCACGCCAAGGACCCCCTACTCCGCTGTTCTTTCGGTAGTTGTAGTATGAAGTAAAGAAGGAGCTAGTGCGGATTTAGTCGTTCAAGATCCAGAGGTAGTGGGTAGCCTCCCAGAGCTCCTGAGCATGTTCGGTCTCGAAAGCCATGTAAGCTTCAGACAGTCCAGACCAATAACCTTATAGGACACAGGAGGAAGGGGAACCTTGGCGTCCCGCCATAGTTTTGAGGCCATCAGGCTCCTGACCATGGGAGGAGTTAATAGCGAAGATTCCCATTCTGCAGTACGATCAAGATTCCCGACTGTTGAACTGAGCCAACCAGGGCAACTCCAATTGGTCGACCAGGTCACCAGGCGTCATATGGAACGATGGACCAGATATTGACCAGGCCGACCGACCAAGTTGCCACTTCACTGGAGGTGAAGACCCTCGCTTTAGTCGAAACCGGGGTCATTCCCTCTGGCGGAAGCAATTACTCATCTTCTGAAGCATGAGAGCTGTAAGCCGCTGGGTAGTCACCCTCCTTTCGAGATGGCGGCTCAGTCTTAGACTTTGACGACTCGGACGTGGCTTTAGTAAGAGACCGAGGGGTCGAGGCCTTCGGCACGGGAGTGGTGACTACAGGGGAAATCAGAGACGCAGTATTTAGGTGACGACGGGATGAACGAGATCCTGCCATGTCGGCCCGGACCGTTCCGCTGTCGGAACTGAGACTCACGTCAGATGATGTCGGGATGATCGGCGAAGCAACTCCCCCGAAGGTCTTGGAAGCCGTCTTTCCCACCGTCGGAGAGCCCGGCGCGCTAGCCTTCGCACACTTAGCCAATTTGGATGGGTCTTTAGATGGGGTGCAGGGAGATTTTCGTAGAGGCCTCTTACTGGATACGGGAGCAGGAGGCCGATATCTTGCAGTCAAGTGTTTTAGCGTCCATTGGACGACACCATTATCGGGGTTGGACACCTCGAAAGGGTCGGCGACATGGGATGAACTTGTTAAACGACCGGCACTATCCTTTAGAGATTCGTTCACGATATCGGATTGACTAAGCTCCGCCACAAGGAAGGACATCCGACTATGTCGAATGTCCACTTGCCGTCCCAGTGATCGGTTAGCGCCATCTTAAGCTGCAGCTTCTTGCGAAGCTGTGATACAAAAGCGCAGGAATAGCCTAACTCCCGCTACAAGCACTCACATCGGAGAGATCACTAATGCGGTAAAAAATGATTAAAGCCAGCCGACTCTCACAGGCCTCGACGCGGCGACAAAACGCTACCTATCGACTGGTGGTGCGCTTTTAGATGAACGACCACCGACTTAGTCAACTGGTGTGGCCGAACCAACATCGACGGGAGCGGTACTGAAAGGAACAACATAATAAGCAGCCTCGACTGGGAGCGACGTCACGCCTGAGGTAATCGGAGCCGACCCCACCGGTGGTGAAGTCGACAGCTTGGTCAAGACGGCCTCACAAGCATTCACCAACGATAACGATTTGAAAAACTGGGAGCGGCAGGAAATGCTGCAACAGAGACCGGGACCAATGGGACATTAGCCTCTGCCGATGGTTCATATATGGGCGAAGCGGGACGTGCTGCTGCGACTGGGTCCACTTTGGCAGTGACCTCGGCCGAGGGTGCAGGTGCTAGCGAAGCAGGAGTTGTAGCCGGACCCCTAGACAGTGAGTCGGATCCAGGTGAGGACATTGATACGAACACAGAAATTAGACGGTGACGCGATATAGGACACAAGAGAAGTAGAAGCTGACGGAACTGGCGTGGTGAAGACAAGCTCGTGCTCGAACCACTGTACGGTCGAGCTATTGCAAGGGGATGATGTGATAAAGTGAGTATTCGAAAATGATGAACTAAAGAGTCGATAAAATGACGGACATGGGACCTCGCGGCCGGCAAAGGTACCGAAGACCTGGGGGTCACAGAGAAGGAGCGGCCGTTGGATCTAACCGTGACGAGCAGTTAAGGTTACCGCTAACGGGGTCGGACCGACCGACGGTACCAGTTAAACGGTACCTATATGGATTGTTCTTAACCACTCGTCGGTCGTTCCGGTAGCTCAAGGTGGGCCCTGGCCACCCGTAGGCCGACCTGGCCACCCATCGGCCAACCCGGTTACCCAAAGGCCAAACTGGCCATCCATAGGTCGACTTGTCCTCTCAAGGTCTGGTGGCTCGTGGTCACTCATCATAGTGAACCCAAGTGCAAGTCCAAGATAGAGTAAAGGTGTTTAAAGGATAGAATAACATTAAATACTACTCAATTTGCGATCTAAGTAGCACGACGTGTCGTGCGCTAAGAAACTCGTAAGTCTACCGACCTGTTCCGGGCCAGGGATCTGTTTGGCCCACCCGTCGAATAGACAGTTGTCAGTAAGACCCAAGTGTAAGTAGATCCCCAGGAAGTATATTGGAATGTAGATTCGTAGAGTATAACCCTTCAACTCAAGCCCGATAAAGGAAGCGGTCTCCATACCCCAGTGGTCAGGGAGAAGACACGTAAAGGCCAGGCGGTTAACAACCCTGAGACAAGTAAAGGCCAGGCACTACCAGCACTTGAGACAACTGGTTATAAGTCCACTCTCGACCAAGTCAATCGAGTGGCCGCCTCAAGTGGACCACGACTGAAGCATATCCGCTCGGGGGGCCCCCAGGTCGTCTTCCATCTAGTCCGACGTATACACTCGTCACCAAGTCCTCCAAAGAGTGAAACTCGCCAGTCGACGGGTACAAAAGGTGAGCCAAGTTCCACAAGTGGCATCGTGGTCCCCCCTCCGGAGGTCGGCAGTCCGGCACAGTGATTGATTTGGGGTCTCGTCGGATAGTTTTGGCAACCCACTCCACCACAGCACTGCATGCTTGCACGAGTGACCGTCTAAGACGTGATTGTTAGTCAGCTGCATGAAAAGGATGTTTGACAATGCCCCGCCGTCGTATTAACGATCGACGTGGCTACGCAGGTCGATTACATAACTAGCAAGCCTTCGCTTAATTTAATGATCACTGAAAGCTCCAATTTATAGCTATAGTAGTCATTCCTCGTCTCCATATAGAACAATATGGCTGGTCCAAAAAAATTAGCAGTTGTTGTCTTAAACACCAGCAACAACAAAAACGACAGCTACAACAACACAACAAGCTCACCTATAGTAAAAAAACATCTTTAAAACGTACTGCCTACTCGTGTATTTAGGGCAGCACAACCATGATCGAACAAAAGGTCAAGCGGCGACGAGTTGCCAGTTTTCAGAGCTTGTTTGCCTTCTGCAACGTCTTGAATCTGGTGCAAGCAGTAATAAAAAAAAACCGCGGTGGTGTACACCCATATCGGTGCCTCCTCTTTTATATTTAGTGCACACTTGTATTCCAACTATCGAGAAAATAGACATATATATATATATATATATATATATGGTCAGCTTTGGTTTCTATAAAAAAAGGGGAGAGACTCTAGTAAATATCCACCAGAGCATAATCGAGTGCGACAAACCACGCGACACATCGCTCCGATTGTAAAGGAGTTAGGTGCCAGTCGTATGACACCACGTGGTATACGAACCACTGAAGAGATTGAGTGGTTGCCCAATCCAATGAAGAGATTAAGTGGCTGCCTAAGAGCGACACATCGCAACCGCTATAGCGACGGGCTGAAATTTGCGCAACACCGTCTTCTTCCAAGTAACGTTACAACAGCGTCTCGGCTTCCTCTTTACTTCCAGCCAAGGGGACCAGTCAACGTAAACTTTTGAAAAGTCTAAAATGAATACAAACTCTGATTCATACTTCTTAAACCACGTGTCATTTACACTGCACCGATCCTTGCACGAGTTTTAAATAATGTGTCTCACGTCCTGGTCAAACTTTCAAACCATGCCACCTTATAGAATATTCCCATGTAAAAATCCGCTCGGTGCCAGCCCTGAATCCAATACCTTTATAAGGACACATCATCAACTTTCGATTCATGGATTGTGATCCTGTAATGCATTGCATGTGGTGGGAGACAGCGACATGAACACCCCTTAGATACGGTGGCATCGACCTTTGTGCCACCACCGACTTCGACTAGACTGTACGAAGGCAAGGCGGTGTGCGGATGGCCTTTGTACCCGCAGCTGTACTCACCACAACCGCGTTTACAACAAGATGGTGAAAAGGCTGCGAGCGTAGCGATGACTTGCGAGAATCGCGGCAGACTTGTGCGAATGTAAACATTTCACTGATTGATGAAACAACATCTGTGAATTGAAGCGGACGAGCGGCTGCAGGACTGTTCGGCACGTGAAAGAAGCCTGCGCGCCTCGTCGCAAATGTGCACATTATTCTTGGATGGATCATAGAAGAATTGCCTCTTCATTTTATTGGTCGCGTAAACCTCCTACTTAGCTATCACAGGTATCGTAAGTAATTCACTTTGGCCTAAACGCTCACAGGAAAGTAAGAAAGTGGAAAATTATTGTCATGTATCTCTTGTGATGACGTCCGGCTGATAGCCCACTTGTATCATAGTGTGTATTGTAATGCAAGAGCTGTATCTGCAGTCACTTATAAGAAGTATACCGATAAATCGAAATGGTTCCCTCACCGAAACACTGCAACTTCGGGTTCCAACGTATGGGATTAACTTGGTGAGTGTTTAATAAAATACATCTCATATGATACTGCTCAGATACACTCTTCGTTTCCGAAAAGGACATCGCCTACTCGCATTTGAATCAGTACAAATACGCTACTCAATGCGCTATAGAATGATTCGTAGCGGACCGTCCGTTTGAATCTGTTCACATTTGCGTTTGTTCACCGCCAATTTGTTAGGTGTACAGGATCTGGACATTTATAGCTAGTCGAGCAAAAATTTGACATATTTGGAAACCTGGTTTTCCAGAACCGTCAAATTCAAATGTGTTTGGGCGTATGCACGATGCGCAGTATCCCCAGCTACCATTTGCCAGTATTTAGAAGCCGCGTTTCTGCAATTGACGTGGAAAAATCGCATGTCGAACGGTACCGCTTGGGTTTAATCGCTTAATTCTATCCAAAACTATTCATATTCAAAATGCTTTCAGTCTACGTAAACAAAGTCATTGATACGGTAATAGAAATTACTGAAACTGCACATTTTGTGATGAGGTCCTTGATTAGCATACGTCTTGTAGGCTTTCCACCACTTCAACGTCTTGCAAGATCCATCTAAGATTTTCGGCTGCGCTGTCCTTCGAGCACCATCTTCATGCGTATCACTTCATATTTTGAGTCTTAGCACTGACAAACGGGCCAGCATTCATCTGCGCGTTCCGCCCTGTATCAACACTAAGTATTAAAAGATAAAGGTTTTCTGTGTCGCTACTCCAATATTTTCTCAAAGCTAGCAGATCGTGTAGCACATGCTGACGTAGAGATCAGAAGACAGAACATTGCAACGTCTCGAGGGCTGTAGTTTTGATATAAATGGAACAATGAGGAGAGAAAAGGCACTACTGACTAACCTGCGGAGCAGTCTCATTCCGGCATGTATATGCGACAAACCTTTACTCGAGGTATCCTCGCGCACGCATTTTTCGCTACTATGTTGTTGTGGGTTGAACTTTCCATCAGCGATAATGTTGGACATCCCGTATTTTGTCAGAGCGAGTGCACCATGACTTTGTCACCTCCTTTTTGTGTCGTCGTTGTTGACAAACAAATCCATTCCAATAGTCAGAGAAAGCCACAAATCGATGGGAGAAGTCTACCCTTTACAACTAAAGTCTCACTTTACTCGGTCGAGCTTATCATTTCGGTATGTAATAGTTCTAGACGCTCGGTATTTGATACCGCTCCACCGTTATCGATGGTGTGAGCAGGTGCTACATACCTTCGCACGTCTATACTAAATCTCGTGGTCAGTGCTTTTTGACTATGGTAGCAGCCCATCGCTGTATCGCTCGTCCGGCGACGAAATCACACAAACGATGAACAACGTGAGCCATTCGAGGATCCATAGATTCCTCTCAACTTTGTGTCCGGGACTTCCTCACGTATCAGTGAGCAACATAAAAGACCACTGTATATTTATGGT